CAAAAGGTAAAACTAAAAATTTATAATGTTTATAGTGTATTCAAAAAGTAGTTTTAGAAATATTCTCTTTCTTAATTCTGATTTGATAATAACCAGAGTAGAGATCAATTTTAGAGAAAAATTTTGCTCTAACAAGTCTATTCAAAAAGTCCTCAATACATAGTAAAAGATAGTGATTTTTAATAGTGATTTTGTTTAAGGCTCTGTAATCAATATATAATCTTAAAGTTCTATTCTTTTTGTAAACAAAAGTATAGGAGCACCAAAGGAAGAGGTACTAGGACAAATATAATTTTTTTTTAACAAATCTTCAAGTTGCTTTTTAAGTTCATTAGTTTTATCATAAGATAAATAATAGATTAGTCTATGTGGAGGTTTAGCGCTAGATATTAATTCAATAGCATAATCAAGACTTAATTTAAGAAGTAAATAGGCAGGTAAAGTTTTAGGAAAGATATTCTTATACTTAGTAATTAACTTTTGAATTTCAAATTTGACTTTCTTTTTATCATTACTTGGAGTATTTAAATATACTGCAAATAATTTAGTATTAGTAGAAGCTTTAGCAAGTTGTTGACAAGAGATATAAATCAAGTTGTAGTTAGAATAAGAGGAGTTAGAACTTAAGTTATCAGCCTTGACAACAATAGTTTTTGAGCTATATTGAAAAGTAAGTGTATTGGTTCTTTAATTAATATAGGATTAGCATTATATAATTAAGACTTTCTAAGAATAGTATCATATCATTGTAGGGTAATAACTTGAGCTTGTATTCTAGAGGTATAATAGGTTCCTTATTCAACTTTTTAATGTTAACAACCTTTTTTGTTTCAGTTTTTCTTCTATTAGCAAGTTTAACAATATAGGTTTAATATTTGTAATTGTAATATTATTTTGTTTAGTAAACTTCATATTAATAAAATTTTGAGAAGCACTACTATCTAACAAAATTTTTGCAAGGTAGCTATTAATTTTTCCTTTAAACTGAATTAGACATTTCTTGTTTTCCTCAATATTTGTAAATTTAATTTCTTTAATTTTTGATATAAAAACTAAAAGTTTCTCTTCAATGTTGGCAATCTTAGCTTTGCTTCACTTTTCATATTCTTTAGCATAGTATTCTGTTATTCTATACTTGTAGCAAGTTCCTTTTTTGAATTCCTTTTTGGTATTATTATTAAAGTTTTTCCTATATGCTTCAGAAGAGTCAAGTTCTATAGATGTAGGATCTTTATTTTCTCTGTTCATTCTATTAGGTAGAGAGAATTTGAAGTATTTTCTATAGCTTGTAGAAGGTTTTTCTATTCTAAATATAGCTGTGTTATATCTTATAGTATATTCAATAGTAGTTTTTAAGGTATTAGAAGCTCTATATACAACTTCTATTCTAGTTGCAGGTTTTAGTCTATTAGTATAGTATGTTACTTAGTCCAAGGCATCTATGTTTGTAATTTGTCCTACAATATTTTGGAATTATATTATATAATCCTTTACTATTCTAGTTTGCCTAAGCTTTTTAAGTTGTTAACAGAGGTATTGTTGATAATTAGAAGGTTAAAAAGCATTTTTAATTACATCAGCAAATCTGTTCTAATTATTAAATAGAAGTAGTTATTATTTGTAATAACTCTATTCAAGAACCAATATGAAGCAGCATTTTTAAGACCTGTGGTAGCATAGTAGATTTGAGTTAGTTTATTTGCAAGACCTTGAGCTAAGAAAATTGTTTGTATTTGTAGTAACTAAGCTACTATGTTTTCATGAGGTTCCCTTTTAAACATAGGAATTTTTATACCAATTTTTATAGGTGCAAGATTATTTTCTTGTTGTTGTTATTTTTAGAGTTGTTGTTGGGCTTAAAGTTGATTAAGTTGTTGTGTTAAAGCATTTTAAGTATTAACAAGTTGTCTGATAGTATTTATTAAATCTTGTATAGTTATTATTTTGTTTAGAAAAATTACAAGAAAGAAAATAACAAAAATACAAATAAAACAAGTATATAACGAAGTAAAAAGGTAATAGTGTATAGAAAATAAAGTATGTGTAGTATAGTAAAAAGCTTTCTGCTACTATCAAGTTGTAAAGATTTAGTTATAATAAGATATTATTATGTAGTTTTTGCCAATAAATACTTAATTTTTATTAAAGAAATTTTGTCAAATTTAAATAATTTTTAAATATACATAACTTTAAGAATAAAAATATATTAAAAATAAAAGCTTAGTTCACTCATTAGGCTTACTAATCTATTCAGAAAATTCTGATATAAAATAATATATAAATAAAGATAAAAATAAAAAATAAATATAAATTATTACAAATCAAAGTTAATCATTAATACACATGTTAATCACATTATTGATAAGCAAAATTGCACTATAGAATGAAGTAAATAAATCATAATAATGCTTATCTATCTATATTATATTTGCTAAATTAATCCTTATTATATTTGATAAGCTGATAAGCTAAATATAGCTAAATTAATTATAGTAATTAGCATATAATTAAGAAAAAACTTAGAAAAATAATAAAAAAGAAAAATTATAGAGAAATTATAGTATTGTTACAATTTTCTTACTATCAAAAAATTGCTAAATTATACAAGTTGCAATATTATTAAAAAAATAGTTAACTTATCAACTCTTCTAAAACAAATCTTTGAATATAGAATTAAAGAATAGCTAAGCAAAATCTGGTATTCAACTATCTTCAAAGAGATTATTCAACAACATAAACAAAAATCTCTAATTTTACTTAAATTACTTATTTACTCTATATTTCAAATTATAATATTAATATTAATAATCTCAATATCAATATCTCTAATCCTTTTAACAACACTAAAACAAATCTAATTTATAACTTCCTTTCTTCAAATCCTAACCTTTCTACAATTCAAAGCTTCAAAAATAATTATATCCTCTTTTTTGAACAAATACTTACAGCTAATAACTTACTCCAACTACAATCTTATTTAAAAACAATTAGACAATATTCAAATTTCAATCACAAATTAATATTAGAAAAATTTTTTTTATTAACTTAAATAATTTCTTGTTTCAATACTTCATATTTACACTATTACTACTAGCTCTATAATACTTACTTCTTCTAACTAATTTTCACAAATCTTACTCTTTTCTACTATTAACTTTACTTGCAAAAGTCAAAAAAAAAACTTCAGTATAAAATATCTATTAATTATAAAGAAATTCTAGCACTCTCACAACTTCTTCCTCTCTATATCATCCTATCTCTTTAATAGATTCCCAAATCTATATCCAAAACTCTATCTGCAAACAAATTACCAACTCAATCCAAACACTATCCTATTAACTTAAACTTATTAATCTCTATTACAAATTACTAAATATAAACTCATTAAATAATTTATATTTTTATATAGATACATCTATATAAAACCTCTGCTCACCAAATATAAAAGCTAGTATAGACTGGATTCTTGAAAATAATACAACTATTAGATTCAATACAAAATCAACTAATATACACAACTCTATATATATTAAGCTTGAACTAATAATTTATATCCTTCTTATTCTTCTAAATAATCTTTATATTCATGTTTATATAAACAACCTATCTGCTATTCATTCTATAAAAAAGCTCCTATATACATAATTTACTTAAATCAAAAATGAAAATTGAGATATTCTATATATCACAAACTATCTTCTCAAAAACAAAAATATTATACTAAAACTTCACAAAATTAAATTTTACTTCAAAAACTCCTTTTATTGAAATGCATATCTTCTAGCAAAAAGAGGTACAAACTACTAACCTATAATACTAAACTTCAACTTCTTTAATCTACTAACTTTTTTTATCTAGCATAATTATCTCATTTCAATACAAATAAGAACATTTTACAAAAATATTATACTTACTAAAACTACTAATTACTTCTTATAACTTTGTAATATCAAAAATATCTCTTAATTTGATCTAAAAGTTTTCTTTAAAATTATTAACTCTCAAAACCTTAATTTATATCTATATTCCTTCTAACTAAAAATATTACTTAATAACCTTTTTACTATAGCTAATTTAAATCTTTATTTACTACTAATATACCTTACTACAAACTGTTTTCATTATAATTCCTTTAAAAATCTACTCTATCTCTTACAATATTCTCAAACTCTTAATATTTTTCAAATATTATTACAAATACTACTCAAATACTCTTTTTTATTAACATTAATAATACTTTTTCTCAAAATCTACTCCCAATACTTTTACCTCAACAAAATAATACTTTATATGCTAATATTAAATATAACTAGAAAACTCTTAGAAATATTACTAATAAATCAAAATAAACTAAAAAAACTTCAAACTTACTAATTACTCTAATACAACAATATAATCTAACTATTATTGATAATAATATTAATACAAATATACAAAAATAGTTTATATAAAATTATCCTATTCTCTCATCTTTTAACTAGCTCTTATTTTTAAATTCAAGGTTTCTCTTTTCTCTTTTCTTTAATTAGTAGTAGTTTTTTTCTTAATTAATTTAAACTAGTTTATAAATAAAAAATTAAAGGTAATATGTTTCATTAACTAGTATCTATATAGAAATTATAACAATAGTTTAGACTTAATATCACCTTGATATTTACTATATAAACTATTACTTTCTATATTTAACATATTAAATAAAAAAAAAATAAAAATATATATATATATATATAAATTTTATCATACAGATTTTGTTTAAAAATTTGATACATCTTCTATTTTGTATGTTTTGAATTTTTTGCTAATTTTTGAACAATATATCTTAACAAATACCTAATTTAAAAACTAACTATTTGATCTTTTAATAATAATATATTGCTAATAAAATTATTTTTTTGCTTATTTCCTATATTAAAATTCAGATACTAATCATTTAATCTTCATCAGAATTTAATTTTTACTAGTTCATTTTTTATTGCTAGAGTTTCAGTATGTAAAAAAAATCATTGGACAACTTCACGAGGCAATAACTTCATGATAACTGCGCCAAATCACATGACCAATAATTTATTTGAAAGCTAAAAAATTCAAAATTTTATTAATAAAAAATTTAATATGGGATACGATCCTTATTTTTTTCAATTATAAGCTCACAATGCTTTCCCATTGATCCTACAAGGTTCTCTAAAACACCTTGTGGAATTTTTTCCTATTCTTCTACCATAAATCACTCTAACTGATCTAAATTTTTTGGCCATCATTTTTCAATGTTACTCTTAACAATATTCCATAAATTTTCTATCAGATTTAGATTAGGACTATTAGAAGGCTAGTCTAGCTCTTTCAGGGTATTTTTTTTTAAGAATTTCTTTGCTACAGTACTTGTATGCTTGGGGTCGTTGTCGTGTTAGAATTCTCAATGACTCCCAAGCATTCTTCTAACCTCAGGGAAGTGGTTTTCTAATATATTAACATAAAACAGACCATTCATTATTCCTCGGAAGCAAAATAAACTTGTTTTACCATTACAATAAAACCCACCCCACACTTTGATTTTGGTTTTGTCTTTTGGAACTCTGCGTACAGAACATTTATCCTTAAACCAATACTCTACAGTATTCCTAAACAGCTGAAAAGCCGTTTCATCAGAAAATAGTGTCCGCCTCCAGTCATGATTAAGATATTTCTTTGCCTATTCTATGCATTTTTTGATATAGTCAGCTGTAAGCATTGGTGTGATATCAGCTCATCTTTTTTTATACCCAAGCTGGGTTAAATAGTTTTAGACAGTTTGGTGGGACACTTAGATCTCCTTTCGGAGCAAAATTACAGCCAAAGACCTTGTGGATATCGAAGGTTCTTTTTTTACTTGCTTTATAAGGGCCTTGGTAATTCTGGAGGAGATTTTTGTGGGGTGACCACTGCGTTTCTGATGTGCTACACTTCCATTTTTTTTTAGTTTGGAAATGTTGAAATATATGGTGGACCTTGGGAGGTTTGTTCGCTTTCTTATTTTGTTTGCACTTCGTATTCCTTTGTCCCAAAGTTGTTGTATAGCTTTGGCATTAACGTCATTAGCGCACATCTTGCTTTTATTAAAAAAAAAAAAAAAAGGTAGTGCTACCCAAAAAGTGTTCTAAAAAAAAAGATCAATCGATAATCAATAAATAACTATTTATTTATAGGATACTAACCAAATTTAAACATTTTTATAATGATCAACATTTTGCACATGATTTTTGTCCAAGGACTTTTTTTACACACTTGTTCATTAGTTTTATCTTTTTTAAGTTTAAGTTTTGTTTTTGATATATTTGTAAATATTTTTACCTAACAACTATAGTTGTATAGTATATTTTGTATTTGTAGAATTCTTGTCACTTTAACTAAGCTTTTTCAATCTATATAAAATAGCAAAAAAAATAAAAAATATTAGTACTATTCTTTGCTATTATCTTTTATATTTTTTATTAATTATTACAAATATTCAAGTCTAAGTAGAATAAATGATATGAGTTTTTAAAGCTTTATTATTAGAGTTAATAGATTAAATTAGTATTATTTTATTACTAGATATACTCTATTTAAATTAATAAATATATTGCTACTAGAGAATTATAACAAGTTAGTCACTTGACTATCTAAAACTTTATATAACTTATGAATAACTTAGTTGAAAGAGTGTATTTAGATTTGGTAATAGTTTGAGTTCGTAGATGAGTTCTTTTAGTAATTATATCTTTTGAGTTTATCTACTAATACTAATCTTTTATTTATTAGAGTAGATCATATAAAAACTTGGTATTTAGAATTTGAACAACTAGGATACAACTATACATTATATATTCTAAATTTAAAACCACAATTACTACAGTTTATCAGGTAATTGAACAAACAATATAACCACAACTAACTACAATCTGTCAGGTTAGCTAGACAATAATACTATAGTTAGTCTTAGTATATTAAGACTTAATTAGAACAGTTATAGAGTAAGTATTATATAGATAAGTTTAACAAGAATCTTACTATTAGTTGTATTAAATAGTAGATTAGAGTTAATGTAATTTAGCAAATATGTGTTTTATTTGAGACAAAATATATGAGACTTATTATTTTCAATAAAGAACTTAGTTTATAAAACTAAACTTCAGAGAGTTATCTCTCTTAATAGGCCAATACAGCCTTTATTTATAATATAAAATTTTATATACAATTTATGCTATTTATTAAAAATATATTTTTTATTATAGATATACTATATATTGCCACTAGAGAATTATAGCGAGTCAGTTACTTAACTATTTAAAACTTTGCATAATCTACAAATAGCTTAGTCAAAAGAGGTCGTTTAGATTTGGTCAGTGGTTTGAGTTCATAGATGAGTACTCTCTAATCTTCTTAGTAATTATGCCTTGGAATGATACTTCTCTAATACTAATCTTTTATTATATAAGGTAAACTATGTGAATGTTATAACCTTGGGTTTTTAGATAACTTGAATATAACTATTTATTATATATCTGAAACTTCAAACCACAACTACTACAGTATATTAGGTAATTGGACAAATAGTATAACTACAACTAACTACAATCTGTCAGATTAGCTGAACAGAATAATAAACCACAGTTAGTCTTAGTATATTAAGACTTAACCAGAAAAGTTATAGAGTAAATGTCATATAGACAAGTTTAATGAGGATCTTACTGTTAGTTATGTTAAACAGTAGATCAGAGTTTGGAAAACAGTTTAGCGAAAGTGGATTATTTGGAATTTAAAATATATAAGACTCAAGAGATATTTAATAAAGAACTCAGTTTTATTAATGCAAAACTTAGAAGTTGTTTTTCTTACTGGGCCTACACAGCCTTTATTTATAATTTAATTTTCATATACAATTTATCTAACTTATTATATTTATACCATATGTCTAACAAATATAATAAAAGTATTATATCTAATTTATTATCTTTATTGTATTAATTACACTTATTCTATTTATTACATATATGCAATAAATTAGATAAATACAATAAATACAATAAATGCAATAAATACAATAAATGTAACTTTTCCTGTAACTTTGGGTCACGTTATACTATTCTGAACCCAATTTAACTATACTTTAGATCTCACATTTCTTTCCAGTTAAGTTGTGCACCTATGCATCAACTTCTGTTTATGATATTTCTGGCAGTTGTGATTCAGAAGTGGTAATTCTATGGAGTTCATTTTGTTTTAATTTCCAGAGGTCAGTGAACTCTAATTTTTGAGTACAGTATATCTGGTCAAGTCTATACTTAAAGAATATATCATAGGCCTATATAGATCCAGTGTAGTAGTAGCATTTTACTTGGTCACAAAACTGACCTTGTTGCTACCAGGTACTATTTACATAGAGCATGCCTAAGTAATATTCATAGGCAAGGGTGTTGATATATTATTTTAATCTTATAGCCTATCGTAGTTAGTTCTCTGCTAGAGTTATACAAGTAGAGAAGTCATGTGTTGAAGTATTATATGTCAAGAGCAGATGATTAACAACCAGAGGAAGTAGGTTTCAGAGATTATAAAGAATTTCGTACAATGTGATCGTCATTTTGTATAACAGATAAAATTTTCTATGATTGAATTTTTATTAATCTCTTTCTTACAAATCTTCATCTCTTTTATTTCTTTAAACCAGCTGAGGCTTTGCTCTATTTTTGTGATCTTTCTATTGTTACGATAGTATTTTCCTATCTTTTTCTCATTTATTTTATTTTATTTTATTTTTTTTTTTATTATTATTATTAATCATAGTATTTTTTTAATAAATTGATATTAACAGGTGAGGCTATAACTTTTCCTTCTAAAGTTCTTAATTTAAATATGTTTTTGAGAAGTACCTCATAGACATAGAAAGAACCTTTTTATTTTAGTTCAAATTTGATACTTCAATTGTATGCAAGAGCTACACAGTAAACTAAAACTTTATCGCCAATTTCCAATTTGAGTAGGACTTTGATATGTTTGTATACTAATTTTTTATTTTGGCCTAGGCTTGTTGTACCTGTACAACTGCTGTATTACGAATTACTAGTAAGTCTTTTATTAATTTTCTCGTTCTTTCTTCTATCATTTTGTTAGTATTTTCTTCAGTACTATTTGGATCTATTGGTAACCTTGCTTTGTAGCTATAAACTAAAAAAAAATAATGTAATTTTGGTAGTTAAGTGCCTGGTAGTCCTGTATTCAAACAAGATTGATGGTACTACCAGATTCCAGTCTGTTATAGTATTCACTGTTTTAGCTATTGCTTTACAGAGTGTCTTATTAAAATACTTTACTAACCTATTAGTTTGTAGATGATAAGAAGTAGACAATAAGTGCTTAATATAGAATCTTTCAAGTAATTGGTCCACTAACTGGTTACAAAAGTGGGTTCTCTAGTCTAATAGTATTTTTTTTAAGCACTAATGTCGACAAATTATTTCGTTATACAGGAACTTTACTACTTCTTAGATGTTGGTGAATTTTATTGCTTTAGCCTCAGGCCACTTGGTCATGTAATCTATGGCTACAATTATATACCAATTCTCCTTAGGTGTTATAGAAAAAGGTCTAACAATATTGATTCCTATTTGGTAGAAGGGAGTGAAGACTGAGATAGGGTATAGTAGTTCTTTATTTTTATTTTTACCTCTTCTTTGATATTTATTATATCTCTTTACATACTCTTTGATAACTTTGTATAATTTTGGCTAGTAAAATTTGTACCTAATCTTGTAGAACATGATATCTGTTTCAAAGTGTCCTCCTAAAGGATAGTTATGTGTTAGCATCAGTATAGCCTCTCATTAATACTCTAAGATAACTTTTAACTATTTATCAGGATCTTGTCGATCTTTCAGATATAAGTTTCTTTCTTTGATTTTTATGTTTTTCCCATTTCTAATTATTTTTCTTTTTAGCTAGAGGTTCAAGTTCGGCTGCACATATTGTTTTTCCATGTAGTATTTCAGGATATTATATATATTGGTTTCCATCTCAAAATTTTGTCAGAATACTGATAACCTAGACTGAATTTTATTTATTGTCAGATTTAGTTACGTTATTCCTTAATTTTTTTTTTTGATTTTATTAACTGTTTTCTTTTTGCAGGTTTCTGCTTTTCAGATTTCGTTTGATTAGAATGAATTAATAATAGAGAATGTCTAGTTCAAATTTGTTGTCTCCTCAGATTGGTAAGCTTATTTGGTAACTATCTTCTAAGTTAGGTAGCTCTTTTTTTATGCTATAACTTCTTACGAGTTGTCTTTGATAACTATTTTGTTCTAACTAGGTATATTCTTTTCTAGATTTAATAGTTAGTAATTCTAACAATTTTTTATATTCTTTTTCTTGTCTAAAATATTCCTTCAGGTCTTTATCTTCGTTTAGGTTCTACCAAGCTTCTCCAGCACCAAGTTGATTAAGGATGAAGCCAGAATCACTACTTTCATCAAAATTCCCTTTGTAAGTTAATTTGCTTCTAACCAAATCCTTAGATTTATTTGTAGATTTAAGATTCAATTCACTTGTTTCTTCTATTTCATTGTTATTTCACTACAACTCCTTATTCTCGTCTAACTATTCTGATTTGCTTTTATAGTTCCATAGCATTTCTTCTAATAGCCTTTGAAAGTATTAAGGCTTTCATTATTTTTATACCTTTTGTTGTACTCTTTTTTCTTAGATCTTAGTTGTTTGTTTTTTTACTAATTTCTTTTTCCTTAGCTCCATATTCTGATAAGCTTAGTAGCTAGTCTAGGTATTTTACTTTATTCATTTTTCTTTCTTCTGAGATTATCAAATAGGTTTCTGTTTTTGAGTCATCATAGTTATTTTCTTTCTTAGGTCTTCTGAACAACGCATCTGTGTTGTTATAGATTTTACTAGCTCTATATTTGATAGTATAGTTATAGAGCTATAACCTAAGTATCTACCTTGTCTTTTTACCTGTGACTTAGAGGTGTATAGCCACTTTAGTGCTATATAGTCCATTAGCACTACAAAGGGCTCGAATCCAAAATAATATCTATAGTGTTTAATAGCTTACAACACTACTAGGCATTCTAATTCCATGGCAGAATAATTCCTTTCTGCTCTAGACAAGCTCTTACTAGTATATGAGATTACGTGTTTATTATTCTTTTCATCTTTTTGAGCTAGGACCGCTTCTAGATCTGTACTAGAAGTATCTATATATAAATAAAATGTTTTAGAGAAATCAGAATACTGGAGTATAGATAAGGATGTTAGATATTCTTTTAATCTTTCAAATACTTTTTGTTAGTCTGTATCCTACTTATACTCAATGTTTTTCTTTAATAATTCATACAAGGGCTATGCAATTGTTACAAAACTTTTAATGAACTTCCAGTAGTAGAAAGCCAACTCTATAAATACTCTTAATTGTTTAAAGATTCTTGGTACAGGATAATTTTTTACCTTATCAACTTTAGACTTGTCAAGTTAGATCCTACTTTGTCCTATGATGTAACTGAGGAAGTGAATATTGGCCTTAAAAAAACTACATTTTTCAATATTTATCTTTAGGCCAGCCTTCTCTAATTTATTTAATATATTATTCAGATAGGTTAAATATTTGTTGAATGTGTTTGAGTAAATATTTATATTATCTATATACATACAACAAACTTTTCAATATATTCAGCTAGGACCTTGTCTATTAAATGCTGAAATGTAGCCAGGATATTGCATAGCTCGAATAGTATTACTCTGAACTCATATAAGCTATTTCAGATAACAAATATAGTCTTCATCTAGTCTTTTTTGTCTATTTTTACTTGCTAATACCCACTTTTTAGGTCTAGACTAGAAAACTACTTAGCTGTATCAAATTTTTCAATAAGGTCATCAATGCAAGGTAGAGGATATGTATCCTTTTTTGTAATATTATTCAGGTATCAGTAATTAACATATATCCTTAACTTATCACCTTTCTTTGGAATTAGGACTATTAGTGAAGACTATGGGCTTTCTGACTTTTGGACTAATCCTTGAGTTATTAATGAGCTAACTTCCTTGTCTATAAACTGTTGTCATCAGGAGAAGTTCAGTAAAAATTTTATTTTATAGGTTTGGCATCTCTGGTATCTATTCTCCTAATTTATTTATGTCATTTGTGAACAGGTAATCTTTTATTCTAAAGAAGTCTTTTGCTTTTTTCTTTTCTTTCTCATTTAACGTTTCCTCTTGAATAAATTTGTTGATGTATCTGTTTAAGGTAAGTTCTGAGTTTTCTTTGCTTTGGATAGATAGGTCTTCGACGTTAGTTAGATAGATGGCTAGGCTATTAACTATATCTTTTTAGAGATTTTCATATAAGTCACTATTTTCTTCAGATAACTCTTCAGTATAATAACCTTCTATTTCATCTAGAATTTCTTCTTTATAAGTAAATTCATTGAAAGTGTTTTTGCTTTCTTAATCCCAGACTTCTTTTTGTTTAGGTATATTACCAACACTTTTACTATTAGTATTTCTTATGAGGACTTTAACAGTTTTACTTTAGTAGGTCATTATTAACTTTTGTTCATCGAAAAGTAATTTGGTCTGTGATTTTTAGAACCAGTCTGTTCCTAGTAATAGAGTCTTATCTAATGACTCTATAACTTGTAGGGTTGTGAGGATTATAGGTCTTGAATAACTATATTTTAGTTATTTAATTTTCCTAGAGCTCTGGTCTTTGCTCTAGTCATAGTCACTACAACAGTTGATGATTTTTCTTGAATACAGAGGTCTAGCTTATCTATTAATCTTTTGGTCATTATGCTGACTGCTGCTTCTGAATCTAGTATAGCAACTATTAGACTACCTTTTATATGAACATAATATCTTGCAGCTGTGGTTCTTTTATCATTATTAAATTTGATATAGGTTGCTTCTTGAACTTGAGGTAATTTTCTTCTTAGGGCTTCTGCTAAAATCCTTCTTTAGTTAGGATATTGGAGTAGTTAGCCATGAGTAACATTTGCTTTTGTATTTAACAGATCTTTTACAGTATCATAAGAGGGAAGTTTATCTACTACTGAGGGTTTACATTTGTGATAGAGTTTTCTTGGTACATATATGTCTTCATCTATCATATCTTGAGAATCTTCTACTATTATTAATTGGAGCTTTTAGTTGTTAACTCTATGTCATAGTCTATTTTCCTTTTAAACTCTGACTACACCTGGAGTCTTTTACTATTATTGTTATTTTCATTTGTTAGTATTCATTATTTTTGTTTAGAGTGTACACTTCTTCTTCCTATTCTTCATTATTTCTATAATAGTTATTAATTTTTCCTAGGTAATTACTGGTTCTTTTGTCCTCAAATTCCTGCTTGAGTTGCTTTTTGAATAGGCAGTGACAACTAATATAGCCTATCTTACTATATCAATAGTATATTGTATCCTTTTTTGTTTTGCTAGTTTCTTTTTGTCTTTCTTGATTTCTTTTGTTATTCTATTTTTTTGCATTCTATTTCTTTTCTTTAGGTTACTTTTCTATTAAGGCCATATAACTTGTAGTTAATTATTATACCTGCTTAGCTAGAGTTTCTATAATTTCATCTTTTCAGTTATTGACTTGGGTGTCTTTACTGTGATTATTGCTATAATAATCACTAGCTTTGACTTTTCTAGTAGTAGTGATTACTTCAGTTAGAGTAGTAGGATATGTTACTAAAACAAATATAGTCATCTTTCCTCTTAGGCTACTTAAAAATATCTTTACAACATAAGATGTAAGGAGGGTATTTCTGGGGTCTACTCAGCTTAGCAACTTTTTGAATTTAGTTGCATAAGCATCTACCTTTTTACCTTTCTATTAGGTGAGAGTATTTAACTCAATATGCTACTTATGTTGTTTCTTAGATATGGCAAAAAATAGAACTAGCAGGTGATAAAAACTTTGTTCTTTTCAAATATTATTTTTCCAATAATTTATATTAAACTTATTATCTTTATACTATTCAGCTGCTAAACCTCTTAGGTAACTAAAGGCAATCTTTAACTTGTGTTGGTCTGACTAATTGTTAGCCTCTGCAGCTCTGTTGAAGTCATTGAACTACTCAATTAGATCTTTGTTATCAGTACTAAAATAACTCTAGACCCTAACATGGTTAGACTCTTTTGAACTAGGCCTATTATTTTGAACTATATCTTTAGCTATGTTTTCGAATAACTTAATCATACTTTCAATAAATTCCTTAAGCTGACTAGTATTCATTGTAACTAGATTAAGCTGAGCTAAAATTCTTTCTAACTTGTCTTTATTTCTGTTTAAATCTAGGTAAGTTTCTTTTTAATTTATTCTTTCTGTTTGGACTAATGCGATTTCTTAAATCAGAGGGAGGGGGAGTAGGAACATATTATATCTCATAGTTACTACTAAAAATGCTACCAGAAAATTACAGCGAGTCAGTCACTTGACTATCTAAAATCTTGTATAACCTACAAATAGCTTAGTTGAAAGAGGTCATTTAGATTTAGTTAGTAGTTTGAATTCATAGGTGAGTACTCTCTAATCTTCTTAGTAATTATATCTTAAAATAATACTTCTCTAATACTAATCTTTTATTATATAGGGCAAACTACGTGAATGCTGTAACCTTGGGTTTTTGGATAACTTGGATATAACTGTTCATTATGTATTCGAAACTTTAAACTACAACTACTACAGTATATCAGGTAATTAGACAAATAGTATAACTACAACTAATCACAATCTATTGGGTTAACTAAACAGAATAATAAACCACAGTTAGTCTTGGTACATTAAGACTTAACTAAAAAAGTTATAGGGTAAGTATCACATAGACAAGTTTAACGAGGATCTTACTGTTAGTTATGTTAAATAGTAGATCAGAATTTGGAAAACAGTTTAGTAAAAGTGGGTTATTTAGAATTTAAAATATATAAGACTCAAGAGATATTTAATAAAGAACTCAGTTTTATTAATGCAAAACTTAGGAGTTGTTCTCCTTACTGGGCCTACATAGCCTTTATTTATAATATAATTTTCGTATACAATTTATCTAACTTATTATATTTATACTATTTGTCTAACAAATGTAATAAAAGTATTATATCTAATTTATCACCTTTATTGCATTAATTACACTTATTCTATTTATTACATATATACGATAAATTAGATAAATACAATAAATACAATAAATACAATAAATTCAATAAATGCAATAAATATAACTTTTCCTATGACTTCGGGTTATGTTATACTGTTCTAAACTTAATTTAACTATACTTTGGATCTTACAATATCTTATATATGATATTTAATCTATATATTCTATAAATAAGATATAGGCCTTATATTGCTTAAAAGCAATATATGTATTATATAGCTTATATGTCATATTTAGTATATATATGATATATACAGTTTATTTGGTTTAACTATATGATTTATATTCATGTTATATTGCTAGCCTTGTTTAGGTTTAAAATTCAGAGCTTATAATATCAAAGTACAATTATAGAGTTTATATATTAAAGAAAACTTTTAGATTATAAGCTTCTTTGAAAAGCAATAAAAAAAAGATAAGCAAAAAATTGTTATTAAATTTACTTGATAGTATAATCATAGAGTATACAAATTATATAGTAAAATTAAAAAAGTACCTAAATTACTCTATATTAATAAAGAGTTAGTAAATAGTTTTTATATAGTTATTGATGAATTATATTGAGGCTATACAACTTTTATAACTTAGTTAAACCTTAAGATTAGTATTAATTAATGTTAATAGATTCAATTAAACTAGTAAAGAAAGATAAACTATAAAAATATTAATTGCCTATTAGAAGCTAAAGATATGAAAAAACTGAATTAAAAATATA